TGTGGTTATTTTTAAGCGATATTGTTTGCGTATGTGCGCTATGTCTTAGGGCTGTAGATGGAAGGGCATTGCTACTGACTTGGAGTAGTTGATTTTGTAGCCTACGATGTTCCCAAATCTTTCTAGTAGTTGTGTCAGGTGGTGCAGGGAGTCCAGTGGGTCCTGGAGTGTTAGCATGACATCGTCGGCATATGCCGAGACTGTGAATGGTGTGCCGCCTATCTCTATTCCCTGAATGTGTGGGTGTTGCCTGATGGCTTGTAAGAGCGGCTCTAGGGCTAGACCTGCGGGAGGTACTGGAGGCATGCACCAAAACCTCTATATGCGTAACACTCCAAGAACAATCTTATAAAACACTATTCCGTTGGTATATGACTCCAGTGAAACAAAAACACATGAAATTGCGTCCTACAGATGATTGCTGGCACTTATGTGGGGGGAGTGAGTTAGTGGAGTGATTGTAGAGGTTGGAGAAATAGGAGGTGAATACCTCGTTAATGGCCTCGGGGGTCTCTACTAGCGTATCGGTGACCGTGCGTATTTTCGTGATGGTTTTGCCCTGTGGTCTCGGGCGGAGCACCCTGGCTAAAAGTGTGTCTGTTTTATTTGCTTTCTCGTAGTAGAGTCTTTTTGACCATTGTATGGAGCGTGACACCGCCTCCAGGGATATGTCCCTGATAGAGTGTCTGAGGGCGTTTAGTTCTCTAAGTTTGGATTCAGTCGGGTTGGTTTTGTGTTGCTGCTCTGCCTTACGTAGGGCTGACTGTAGTTCGAGTAGCCTTTTTGTTTTAACTCGCTTTTTATGCGTTGCAATTTTTATAAAGTGCCCGCGCAGGACTGCTTTGTGTGCTGCCCAGACCGTGGTGGGGTTGGCGTCGGGTGTTGCGTTTAGCGCAAAATATTCTGTGATAGCCTGTCGGGTAGTTTCTAGTGTTTCGTCGTCTCTGAGAAGACTAGTATTAAGTTTCCACGACCAGTTGGACTGGTATCGCAGGTTGCCTAGGGTGAGCGTTACGTCAGCGTGATCTGACCATGTGATGCTACTAATGTCTGTGTGTAGGGCCTTATCCATCCCCACCACGTTAAGAAAAATGTTATCTCTTCTGGAGTAGTTGTTGTGCGGTGCGGAATAAAATGTGTAGTCAGATGTGGTCGGGTACTGTAGTCGCCATACATCCAGTAGAATACTGTTTGCTTTTACTGCAATAAAATACACATATTTGTATTCAGCAAAGTCTCACGTGTAAAACAGTACCCCCTATGTACAGGTTTTATGGTGTTTTGAGAAGTTACAGGGTCAAATATAGCATGTTACATTTGAAATTCGCCAGATTGGTTACGTTGCCTTTGAGACTGTATAGTTTCCCAGGAATGAAATTTACACCCATAAATGGCATAACATTTGCAATAGTAGACAACCCAATGTATTGCAAATGGGATATGTCCAGTCTTTTTTAGTAGCCATTTGGTCACAAACACTGGCCAAAGTTAGCGTTAGTATTTGTTTGTGTGTGAAAAATGCAAAAAATGCTAATTTTGGCCAGTGTTTGTGACTAAGTGGCTACTAAAAAAGACTGGACATACCCCATTTGCAATACCTTGGGTTGTCTACTTTTGCAAATGGTATGCCATCATATGGTCTCAAAGGCATCGTAACCAATCTGGCGAATTTTAATGTGAAAAAAAATGAAACGCAAGCCTTATATTTGACGCTGTAACTTTTGAAAACACAATAAAACCTGTACATGAGGGGTACTGTTGTACTCTGGAGACTTCGCTGAACCCAAATATTAGTGTTTTAAAACAGTAAAAAGTATCACAGCAATAATATCGTCCGTGTAAGTGCTGTTTGTGTGTGAAAAATGCAAAAAAACGTCACTTTCACTAACGATCTTATCGTTGTAATACATTTTACTGTTTTGAAACACTAATATTTGTGTTCAGCGAAGTCTCCCGAGTAAAACAGTACCCCCATGTACAGGTTTTATGGTGTCTTGGAAAGTTATAGGGTTAAATATAGTGCTAGCAAATTAAATTCCCTATACTTTCGGCATGGATTGTCAGGCAGGTCCCGCTAATTGTAAAATACCTAATTATGTAAAAATATTACATAAATATATATGTAGAATTAATATGTGTGTATATATATATATATATATATATATACGTATATATTTATGTATATAGATATATATATTATTTCGTTCTATGTGTATGTTGAGATATATATTAATATCACAATACAGTTAGAACGAAATAATATATATATATATATTATTTTTTTTTAAATTATTTTTTTTAATTATTTTTTTAAATTTTATATTATAAATATATAACAATTATATATATTTAATCAGTATCAGTCTATGTGTAATTTGATAATATATATTAATAGTAAAATACACCTAGACAGTATATATTATATATATATATATATATATATATATATATATATATATATATATATATATATATATATATATATATATATATATATATATACATACATACATACATATACATACACACACAAAATTCTGGCACGCTTCCCATGTGACTTCAAACGAATTAAAAAAAATTGACCAGGGTGCATTCTCAGTGCTCAAATATGTAATCAGAAAAAATGAGAGCACTCACTGGATTTGTGATAAATCTTATATTAAATCATGAGCAAAAAAGTAAATCAATGTTTCGACTATCAAGCGGTCTTGATAAAGACCGCTCGACGGTCGAAACGTTGATTTACTTTTTATATTATATATGATCTAAGTATATAAAAATTTTTTTTTTTACACTGATTAACATTATTTTATTTGATTTCCAGCCAGCAGGGGGACTAACTGTCATTACAGGCAGTCCCCCTGCTGGCAATGCAGCAGCCAGCTAACCTGGCCATGTGATTGTGAGGTCCTCGCAAGGACCTCACTCTCACATGGCCGGCGGGGGGCGCGCGGAGGAGGCAGGATCCGCCGCGGGGGAATCCCCCGACCGCGATCGCCGGCGACCGGGTAAGTAAAAAAAAAAAAAAACGAAGGGCGTACTATTACGCCCTGCAGCGTTTAGAGCCGCTTAGAATAGGGCGTAATAGTACGCCCTCCGGTTTTAAGGGGTTAACCCTAATATAAACATAGCAGCTTTGTTTACAGCTACAGGGTTAACCCTAGATGGACCTGGCACCCAGACCACTTCATTAAGCGGAAGTGGTCTGAGTGCCTATAGTGGTCCTTTAACCCCTTAAGGACCAAACTTCTGGAATAAAAGGGAATCATGACATGTAACATGTCATATGTCCTTAAGGGGTTAAAAATCACCTATCTCCGCAAACAAATATTGGGATTCAATTATTTGGCCATATTGTGTTAAGGCCACCACTACATCTGTGTGTTCTAATATGTATGTATATTTGTGTAATGTATGTGGCAGTGTATTGTATGTGCATAAATCCCAGCAATCAAACGCCAACACAACATATGAAGAAATCAAACACAAACATTACATACAAATACACCTCTTCATTCAAACACCAATACTGCACACAAATGTACACCTGCATTTAAAAGTCAACATACAAACACACCCCTACAATCAAATATCAATACTACACACAAAAGAATACAAAAACCAACACTACACACAAAGGCATACCTGAACACACCTCTGCATTCGTATGTAAACACTATAATTACACCACTGCATTCCAATGGTAAGAGTACATACAAATATATACCCCTAAATGCACACATACTCTATACAAAACATGCTTGTATTAAAAGGACACTCCAGGCACCCAGACCACTTTTGCCCATTAGAGTGGTCTGGGTGCCAACTCTCACTACCCTTAGCCCTGCAACTGTAAATATTGCAGTTTTCATAAACTGCAATCTTTACCTTGCAGGGTTAACTCCTCCTCTAGAGGTCACTTCCGGGTTTTTTAGCACAGATTTTCTATATGTGAGGACCTCCAGCGTCGCTAAAATCCCCATAGGGAAGCATTGAAAAATTTTTTCCTATAGGGAGGTCTAATGCGCATTAGGTCTCACCCCGCACGGGAGGGGTGTGGGTGGACCCTTGACCACCCTTCAGCAACCTGGGATTGGGGGTGGGAGGGAGAGGGGACCTGCAGTACCAAGAAAACGGTTTGCTTTTCTGGCACTGGAGAGTCCCTTTAACCCCTTAAGGACACATGACACTTGTGACAGGTCACAATTCCCTTTTATTCCAGAAGTTTGGTCCTTAAGTGGTTAAAAAACCCCTCACAAATACAATCCTGCAAGGATAGGCAAATGGTAGATCCTCAGCTAGCATAGCAGCATGGAAGTTTGACAGATGGGGATCTTCCCTTTGGCCACTTTTACTCTAAAGGTGGTCCGATAAAAAAAACCCTTTCATTTCAGCCTTAGAGGGACATTCCAGGAACCAAAACAACTTCCTCTAAATTAAGTTGTTTGTGGGGCCAGGAGGACCCCAAAAGGCACTCTTACATCAATGTACCTTTTCCAAGCCAGTTTTGTGAATAGGAAATCACTGATGGGCTGAGAGCATGAGCTGCACACTTCCCCAATCTGTAAATTAAACAAATAAAATGGATGGATTAAACATCGCTGCTGATGGCAACTTTGGGGTTAAACTATTCAAGAACAGTTTAACCCCTTGAGGTTAGAGAGTTCCTCTTTGTGGCCTCCTGGCACCATAACAACTTCATTTAGATAAAGTGGTTTAGCTGCTTGGAGTGTCCCTTTAAATGTTAAATTCACTTTTGAAGTCTCTGGATATTCCTGACAAATAACCCTGCCAGCCCCTACCCTGTCACACAGCCATTCAGTGCGGTGTGCAGCCCTCACAGTGTAAAGTATTCCCCCCTTAGCACGTGTTTAACCCCTGGGCCCGGTGAGTGCGGAGGAGCCACTGTGACCGAGGTGACATGCCCGGGGTGCCAGGCGCAGTGAGCGGTCTGCCCGCTAGACGGTGACTGGCCCCTCACAGCGTGCTGCTCGACTGACGTCACTTCCGGCTCGATTGCCAAAGCGCTGGGCCGCAGGCAGAGAGACAGGAGACCTGGCCAGAGATGGACGTGACGGGGCAAGACAGCGACTGGCGGAGCTTGGCCTTCAGACAGAAGCTGGTCAGCCAGATGTAAGTGCGGCTGCTGTTAAAGGGCCAGGCGGCAGGAGGGGGGTGTGGGTGTCTCGGACAGGCCCCGGACCTGGCACCTCCTGGACGGCGGGCGCGCGGGAGGCTGCTCTCCGCTGGCGGAAATGCTTTGTGCGGCGCGAGGCTGCTGGAGAGCGGCATGCCACAGAGGGGATATTCGCCCAGTTTAAATAAACTTTATTAGTATATTAACCGCGAGCACGCCCGTCCTGGGGGTTGTTTTCCCTCTGTCGCCTATTATCCTGTAATTAGTATTTATAATTAAAGGGCGACCAGAGGGCTTATGGAGATCATATTCTACTGAACTTTAAAAAATTTTTTTTATTAAAGTCTAGATTTCCAAGTGTTAATTATTTTCTTTGTAATAGTTCCTGTACACTGATCCAGAGCAGGGGTTACTGATAGTTTCTAAGTGGATGTGTATATACTGTATCAGATAAAGTTGCCAACACGTTGGGATGTTGTCCCTTCCCAGGCAGAGAAATAACCAGATTTAAGTAAAAAGCATCATTTTGTATTTATTTGTACGCCTGACTCACTTTGTTTCTGGATGTTTGTTGGGTTTAAAAGGAAATGTTTCAAGGTCAGGGTCAAAATCTAGAGCCCCACAGTTTTACAACTCCTGAGATTAGACGGCCTTAAAGTAAAACTAAAGGCACCCAGACCACTTCATCTCAATATGTGCTCCACAAGCAGGGGGTATGCCAGGAACTGGCCGTCTCGCCACCTTAGTGCCCCCTAGGAGGCGGTTAGCTGGACCTAAGGCAGGGTAGGCTCCTGCTTGCTCATACAGTAGGAGCCTACTCTACTCGAATGTGCCGTGTCTGGAGGGGAGACAGGAGGTGAGGGAGGGCTGATATCTGCATTGCTCCCTTACGTCCTGCGGTGATGCCGGGAACGGGTTATGATGTCACTGGCCCCAGCATCACTAAAGAGTGCAGTTCTAGAAGAGCATAAAGATGACAGCAGGCGCACTGAACCCCAGGGAGAGGATCCACTCCAGCTCTCCCAAAGGTAGGGAGGCTGAGTGGACTTAAAATAATTTGCAAGAGAAAGTGTATCTGTCAGTGTGTTTCAAACCAGTGAGAGTGTGTCTCTCAATGAATCTGTGTGTCAAATCATGGCTTCACTCAGGAGAGTTAACTGAAGCTGCTAAGCAAAACCTCCTGGTGTGAAGTAGTGAAGGTGGGGAGGAGCGCTTGATCATTACTTTATGTGAGACAGTCACTTCTCAGTAGCCCAATCCATCTGTCATAGAGAATCATTGCAGACCTATGCCGCGTGCGTAAGACTTTTTCCACTAATCCAGTGAAGCATTGATTCTCTCACCCCCACAAAATGTGTATTTCATAAAGATATAATCTTTATTAAAATACTCATAGTGACTGGATTGGAATTTCACCGAGATTCCAATTCAGTCAAAAGCATATACTGAGACAGAGTATGGGGCTACTTTGTCTCAGTATTTTTCCTGTGCCTGATACTTGACACTGGGTGGAACTACTGCCGTCAATAAGTGTGAATCCCCCAGCCATCATCAGTGATGGTTGCAGGGAAATTAGCTGTATCTATAAAGGGTCTTTCGGGATCCTCCTTAGATCTCTATGCTGTACTCTCACGCGTGAGAGCACAGCAGTGACGTCTGCTCCTAGCGGTGGAGCACCAGGAGCAGAAGTGGACCAATCCGCCTTAAGTGGCCACGCCCACGAGTTACAGGTTCAGGTAAGTATAACTAACCTATCCCTGCTCCCTCCGGAGCCCCAGCTTCAATATCACTGACAGGGGTCTTTGCAAATCATGCAAAGTCCCCAAACAGTGACAGTGCTGCTTGAAGAAGTAAGTGCATTTAGTGGCTATTTTGATAGCCACTAGAGGCATGTTATCAGCCAAATGTAAACATTGGTGGAGAACTGATGTGACCTGAAAATTAAAGGCCAAAATAACCAAACTTAAAAATAATTTAATTTAAAGAATGCCTGTACTAAAAAAAAAAAAACATGTTAAATCATTAAATTCTAATGGCATAACCATCTATACATTGTGCTAACGATTTTGCTAGCAAATGTATAAATCTGCCAGAATTTAATGTTTGAATATTTGCTCCCTTCTCTCTATAGCAGACAGACTATCAGCATTTAGGCACTGCCGATGTCTGTATGCATACAGCTCGCCTACTACCTTTCCATCCTCGTAGCTTCAGCGTTGCGACCATACATGTGTTCTGCAAGTGTCCCCATCTGCTTGTGACACCACTGCCAACTATACTGAAGATCAGAAAGTTCACTTTAACTATTTTCACAGCTTGCCTATTTTGGCAAGAAATAACAAACCTATGATTGGGAGCTAAAAGTTTATTTGATTCACGGTCTCAAGATCGTTAATCTGTTAGTCTATATCCCTGTAGAGGGCATAACAAAACAGGCAGTTAGTGTGTCATTGTTATTTGGATGCTTCAACTGTACAGTCCCCCTGGGTTAAAGATATTCTGCTCAGAACATGCCAAATAAGTAGGACCGTAGTAACATAAAAATATGAATTAGTGCAATAAAGCCCAGGTGGAGGGTGGAAGGTAATTAAAGTGCTGCGATTACTATTTTGCAGTCCTTTGGGAATGAATTGTGACACACTGTGGCAAAATTTCCATCACTGAATAACATACAATATTTATATGTAAACAAGATAAAGCATGCATAGTAAAGGGGAGAATGAGAGTTAAAATAAAGAATTAGTGGGAACAGTGATAGGATGAAGAACTGAGTGTTATTGAGATGTAACTATGGGTAGCAGTACTGGAAAATGGGGCGATGGACATGATAAAGGAATAAGATGAAGAGAGATGTTGAATGGAAATTGTCAAGAGGAGGGACATTCTGAAAACTAGAACCAGGTGCTTGAAGGCACTGAGCCTGAAATGTAGATAGCTGTGTCTGCATAGCTCCAGGGCTGGGTAGATGTTATGATGGGGTCATTCAACAGAATCTGAGACACATCTTCTTTAAAGGGACACTCCAGTGCCCCAAAAAAACAATGTTTAGTAGGTATGCACCCAATGAAAACATGTATTCCTTTAATTACACATTTCTTTTCCTTGGGGGTATAGCTAAAAACAAATTGCAAAAGCTGCAGCCTTTGGCATCTCCTCCTTTCTTCAGCAGCTCAGATTTTCTATAGTTGTGCAGTCACAGACTTCCCAATTCAGCTCAATGAGAAGTCTTTGCAAGGCAAGTGCTCTGGGCGATTGCTGCCTCTTGAGTTTAGCTCCACTGAGATAAACAACCAGGAAGTAACAGGACCTGTTGTCTGATTGACAACCCGGAGAGTGTAACAAGGTTAATTTATAAAAAATGTCAATTTATTTTGAAATCTGAACTTTTTGTAAAAAAAAAAAAAAGTCAGTCTTCACACAAATCATATAGACAAGCTAAAGTGCTTTTGGGTTCTGGAGTGTTCCTTTAAGTATTTCACACTATTCTCTCCAAATTTCAACACCCCAGTTCTCAAGCACCATTTCTGAAGTAGCCTTTTAACTCAACCCATGGAAACCCACCTTATTACCTGTTTGCTCCCTTAACATTTCATTCATGCATCCTATAATCTGGATGTGACCAGATAGGTTTCAGCGTGGTGATATGCTGTATAGAAGTCTGATAGAAATGCTATGTTTCCTGTTATCCCTTGCCTCTGCTTCACATTGATTGACTTACTGCTGGTGAGCATCATCCGGATTAGATCATTTGTACACTTTTAAATTTTTTTTTAATAAGTATAGATTGTTTTTGTATGTTATGTTTTATTTTTTTATTAATATTTAGTGAAATCTTTTATTCAGAAAATGAAGAAGCAAGGGCCATGACTGATACTGTGTGACAGTATACTTAAAGTATATAAATGTTTTTGCTGTTTGGAAGTTCCTCTCCTCTCTCTCTCCTAATAATTATTAGAAGTAATTGGGGTATGAGATCGAGTGGATTTCATAGGGTCATTCATTATAATGGTAGAGGTTCCTTGGTTTTTTTTTTAGATATATGGCACATGGATGGAGGATTCTTTAATTTTTTATGAGCAGAGGATTTATCATCTTTTGGTCTAACCAACGTTAGGCTGTGGCTGGAATACTTGGCATCACCTTTTCCTGTTTAATTTGAGAGTCATACACTTTCAAGCTGTTAAAGTGTGTAGAACACTTTTCAGTAAATAATGACTTCATTTTTTATAAAACAGAACATGTGTTTGTAGCTTCAGGAAGAAATCACCCTTTAGAATGTGAAAAAAAAAAAAACTATATCCACAAACTAGCAAGCGTAAAAAAGCAAAGGGAATGGTTTTAAATGAACTAAGTTGATTCTTTTTGTGACCTCAGCTTGCAGTTGTACCTGCAGATTTTATTGTCCAAACATGTTAAGTGATGCCAATCTAATTATGGATGAAGACATCAAGAAAATCCTACCACAAACAGTTGTAGAGCTTTCCGCCAATAATATCCGTATGTTCTGGAAAGAAGGTGCAATAGAAAAAAAACAAAACACCTTATAGTGTACTATTTATTAAGATTGCAGGAACATAAACAAAAGTCAGAACTTATTCCCCACTGAAGGTAAGGTACTCGCACAGGAACTGGCATAAGAATATATTGAGGTTACAATTCCTTTCTGTACACCTTTTGTATTCCAGCAGCGTCTGTCTGTCGTGGCTCACAGCAGTGTATGCCAGCAAAGTCCCACAAGTAGAATGCTGCAATTACGGAGTCACGGCAGATCCACAAATGTTATTCGCGGCAGTGTGCCAAAGCCTGTGCATTTTGTAGGACTGCAATTACTTCCTCAGGGCACGGGAAGCTCTGGCGATATACAGCCATTTATTCACTTCCTAGTGGCCATAGTAGTCAATGAATCCTTCCTCTAATCCATAAATGAGAATGAAAGTATTCTCTCTCTCGGCCACCGTCGGTTTCTTAGCTTCACAGTACTGAGATACATAGATTCATAATGTATACAGTCCTTACAGATCAGAATTTTTATACATTGTATCCAGTATAATAGTCTTAATTTCATACTTATTACTGCTCATCATATGATTAAAAATTCATAGGCTTGCGTTTAGGAACCAGTGGACACATGTTACGTGATTTTCTTCCACACCTGTAGATCCCTTTAAGTAGTGGTAGATGTGTTATATTTTCCTGCTTTCAGGTATTTTTTTATTTTTTGTTTTTGTTTTTGAAACCATACCTGGAGCCACAAATTTTTTTATTTTATTTTTTCTTGTTTTTTTTTTTAATACTATTTTAGTGATGCCATTCACAATTCCTATTAGTTTATCTTGGGCTATTACAGCCAGCATACTTTTCATCTATTCCCTACTGCATTATATATTGTTACAAAAATGGGCATCACACCCCTTTCACTTACTCTTTTGGACTCTCTTTGTATGTTATTTTTTTAGTTATCTTTTATTAGGTTTGTTTTGTTAGTAATTTTACATATATATGGCATGTTCATGACTATTGTCATGCTGTTTTCTTTTTCAGAGATGAAGCAATGCGCAAAGCAGGAGTTGCCCATAATAAGTCTAGCAAGGATATGGAATCTCATGTTTTTCTAAAAGCCAAAACACGTGTAAGTATTGCACACTCCTTATTTTACTGCATGTCGGTAGACATACCCAGCCTTCTTCAGTTACAGCACTATTGTTAACATGCATAGATGGATCCATTTAATCATAGTCTCAGAATAAGTCCATTTGATCATCAATCTTTGCTCTGATTTGCAGGAAGAATACTTGTCTTTGGTAGCCCGACTTATTATCCACTTCAGGGACATACGTAAGTATCTTCTGCTTTGGTTTTATTAACTTTACACTCAAGTTGATAAATTTAAATTGTACAAAATTATAAGTATGTTCTGTACTTCGTAGAATCTCTTGTGACTAGATCTGACATATTAAAGTTACACATTAAACTATTGGGCTCACTAACTGATATAAATATGAAGCAATGCTCTAAATTCAACTCCATATGACAAACTACAATGTCTTGGAAACACCAAAGACTAGTTGTAGAAGTATTGTCCAAGGGATAAGGTGACTTTATATTATCCAAATGTATATTAAATATTGAGATCTGGTGCTTTACTATCCCCGTCCTGCTTATTTAATTCACCAACATATAGTTGTAAGTTGTATCAGAAACTCCTTCTACATGTAATGCACCTGCCAAATTAGCTAGAATAAGTTACAATATTGATTGAGCTCATTACATCAGGAGTTATTGTTTTAAGTGAATTTTTGGGGTTTCTTTTTCAGATAACAAGAAGACTCAGGCATCTGTAAGCGGTAAGTAGCTTAATGTCTCACTAATTGGCAGACATTTTTTTCCTTTCCTTTGCTTTCCTTTACTTTCCTTTTCTTTTTTTGTCACTTGGATTTCGGTGACTTTCTTTTCTCCTCTCTCTATAAGACCCTATGAATGCTCTCCAAAACTTGACAGGTGCACCCCCTGTTGGTCCACAAGGAATGAGTATGGGTGTTCGCCCACCTGGAGCGCAAATTGGAGGCATTGGTGGAATGGCCCAGATGGCACAACAGATGAGCCTACCGGGACAGTCACAGCCTGGTAACTCAGGGATGGCCGGACATGGGATAACGGTGTCTGGTACAAATCAACCAAGTAAGTAACGGTTTCCTTCACAATGGTTACAATAGGCTCATTAGTTTAAATTTGAGGTGGCACATCGATCTGGTGATACTTCAGGGGCTAGTAGGGTTCCAGGACACACATAGGGCCAAGATGTCAGTCCATGACCAATTGAGGAAAGAAAGATTGCTGATACTCCACACAATGACAAAGTCCTACCCCTACAGGTCACTATGTGTTTTGTAGAAATATTTGACTTTTTAGAAACAAGTATAAAATAGTTAACCCTGGTAAACTGTGCTGTAGATCAATCTGGTTCAACAAAACCAGACAATCTGAGAACGGGCAAAAGCTTAGAGAATCTCACTAACTTGCCCTTTGGTTAGTCCCCACTCATGTCTCAAAAATGCTTTGGCTCACTTGTGCCATTACAGAGAGCATCTATTCCATTTGCATATCAGACTAATCCCACCCATAAAGAAGTTCAGACCTGAAATGCTAGCAAGTTCTCCTTGCATGAGAGATACAGCAACCCCAGATGATCGCTTATGCAGTTTTTGGGCTTCGTCAGTGAGGTGTAGATGATAATTCTCTCTAGGAACAGTGAGCACAAATCCCACTTCTGGATTACCCTGGGGAGAGCCCAAGTCAATGCATTGCAACAAAAATGGAGAGTATGAGAATTCTGACATCAATTTGGTGGACTGAGCACTCCTTGGTGGTCTTGGGAGAAAACACTGTACATGTAATAGTGGTGTGCATGGCCAGTTTAACACAGGTGTTTTTGGAGTTAAAACTTTAGGCCCAAGGTTTTTTTGGTTTTTTTTTCTTCATCGCTGATGTGTTTGAAATGCTGTGTGCTATAATCAAGATGTTTGGCCAGAGAGGCACATATATATATTCTTTTGCCTCGCTGAGTATTTTGGCGAACACATCCACAAAAACTTAAGTGCCAATGGTAGCTTTGGCACAGTATATACTAGTCAGTATCTGATTTGTGGCCTGAAATTTTAGTTTCATAGAAACATGAGGGAATAGTTTTAAATAAGGCTGCAAAATCTAATTGCAGATAGAGGCTAGATCAGAAACAAGAATTCAGATTTTCTATTTAGGCCCAGTGTAATTTTTCAGCTCTAGACTCATGAATCTCCTGAACCAGTATTTTTTACTATTCAGCTGTACTTCTCATGGTACACGCAACTTAGTCTTAAAGAGCATTACATCTCATCTCTGCATTGTGCTAGCAAATGTAGATTTGTATTTAATGCCCTTTAATATTTTAGTCCACCTGGTAGTTGAATTATCTGCATTAGATGTGTAATGCCAAGGGGTGATGGTTCAGTTTCTCCCTGTACCTGTGTTACTCCCCAAGTGCTTGTGGATGAACTGACGCAGATGTGCTGGCAATAAAGACCAGCATGGAGAATGTCCCTGCTTTGGGAGAGGGCGGCAATAGAGGGTGGGTGTTACAGGACTGTAATACCCACAGGCCTCTGAGAATGGCGGGCCTTCACTGAGGGCACTGCAGGTAGGTAATGCTATAGTAGCTCCCAAAGCAACAAAATACATTGTTTTAGTTATTTGAGAGTGGTTATAGTATTCAGTGAACATGGAGTGCCACGCATAGGCGGCTCTTTAATTAGGTGGTTTAGGTGGCCACCTAAAGCCTTGTGTTGCCTGGGGCCTCGTGGCCTCCTAAACCGCCATTGGACAGATTGCGTCTGGTCCACCCGACACTAGGAGGGGACCCAGCGGCTTGTTCGAAATGCCACCGGGTGCGAGGCCCCTCCGTGCCATCTGCCCGGGAGGAGAGCGCCCGTGGCCACTGGTCTGCAGCTCTGCAGTTTGCAGAGCTGCAGACCATGTGTCTCGCGAGATCTGGCCAATCAGAGCATTGTTGCAGGTTACCATGGCAACACTCTGACTGAGTCTCGCGAGACACATGGTCTGCAGCTCTGCACACTGGAAATCACTGCCGGATCACCAGGGCATGAAGGACACTGGACCACCAGGGAATGATGGTATTCAATCTCACCCCCCTCCCACCATTACCTTTTCCCTCCCAGTATCCCCCCTCAGCATCACACCCCTCTCAGTGTACCCCCTCCCTCACACCATCACCCCCTCCCTTGCAGTATCCCCACTCAGTATCCCCCCTCATTATCACCCCTCTCCCAGTATACTTCCTCCCTCCCAGTAGCCCCTTCACTAACGCCCCCTCAGAGTATACCCACTCCTACCAGTATCCTCCTCACACTCTCACTATCCCTCTCCCAGTATACTCCCTCTCTCACACTACCAACCCCCCCTCCGTCCCAATATTCCCCAGTCTTTCCCAGTATTCACCCCTCACAGTAATAACCCCCTCCTTTTCACTATCACCCCACTCCCTCCCAGTATACCTCCTCTCTCATACTATCACCCCCTTCCTATCAGTATTATCTAATCCTGCCACACTCACCCTGTCACATTAACACCGCTTAATCCTGTCACACTACCTCCCCCAACCATGCCACATTCACCCTTCACCGCAAAACTGTGATGCGCACCCCACCCCAACTATGCCACACTTACACTGTCACATTAACCCCTCCAATCCTGTCACACACGTCCCTCTTACCATGCCACTATTTGCCCTGACACACTTGCCTCCATTCGCCCTGTCACACTCCCTCATCAAACCATGTCATACTCTCCCTCCCTCATTCTCTCTCACAACCCCCGACCCTGTCCCATTTGCCTCCTTCGTTCTGTCACACTCTCCCTGCCACTGGCACCCTTTACTCACTCGCTCACTCAGAGTCACCAGCTGAAGACATACATCATACACACTTTATTATTTGGTAAATGATTTTTATAAAAGCCTTTTTGCTCAAATTAAATTTTTCTTTTTGTTTCCGATAACCCATTCACACCAGTTCTTATGTATACACGACTGCTAGGCAATGCAACCATAACCCACAAATGTGTATAAACAGATTGGCATAATTTCAAATTACATTTATTTATTGCCAATTAATTTTGTTTGCAAATTATGCTACAACTACAGCCAGAGAGCTCACAATGTAGGGGCACAGGAAGCCGTGACACTGCAAGCTTCTGAACAATGAATGCAGAGACTGACTCTCTGTATCCAGAGCTGCAAGCCCGCCTTTCAATATAGCGAATACTCATTACACACACACAAAATACAACCCTATTATTTTATACTTTGGGTGTTAGTGGGGCCTCATGCTTGAATTTCACCTAAGGCCTAGTAAAGTCTAGAGCAGCCTCTGGTGCCAGGCCCACTTTAAAGTAGAACTATACATTGGTGGGTCATTAAAATAAATGCCTAGACCCCTTAGTGCAATACTCCATGGTGGCTTCCTTGGTGAGAAGCGGCAGATAGATATTCTTACTTAAATTTCTTTAAGTAAGTATATCAGCCATTCTTCTATTGGGCTCTGTCTTCAGCTCCTGACAGCTTCTAGGTGCCTGGGTCACTATTGTATTCTTGTGCATGCACAAAATTATAAAACAGGTCAATGGAAAATCATGCAAGATCGCCATAGGTCTTGCTCCAGTGCAAGAAATTGCATTACTTTGCCTCCTGTATAGCCTCCGATTATGTTGAAATTAAAATGAAATTCCAATGCAAACCAATGCCTTTTTGTGTCTTGATGGGAAAACTCAGAAGTGACAGTGCAACTTTAAAGGAACACAATAGCGTTAGGATTACAAACCTGTATTGCTAATGCTATATTGACCCTTGCTATATACAGGTCCTGCCATTTGCAAAAAGTATAATGGAATACAAGTTTTACTTCCCTTTCACCCTTTTTCTAACAAAACTGCAATATTTTACATTGCAGGTTTAAAAGGACAGGGCCACTGCTTCCACATCACTTTATTTAGATTAAGTGGTCTGGGTGACTTTAGTGCCTCTTTAAGTAATGAGTGGTGTTTTTTGATCACTGTTCACAATCCATTTAATGTGTATACTTTCATTTCGAGGGGACAGTGTGTTCTTAGTTTGTGTATGGGTAGGCAGGATGTCGGACTTCACTGTGCTTTTAAAAAGTAGTTGCAACTAGCTTATTTTTTGGAGACCATTTTACTCCTTTTGTGCCCATGTGTTCTTTGTTAAACAGTCATTTGTACTGTCTCATGTGTTTCTCCTGTGAAGAAGTACATAATGTGTTGTGTTTTCAAGTATGCAGTAATAGAAGCACAGACCTTTTATTGCATCTGTAATATGACTACTTTTCAACTCCGCTATAGAGCTTTTAACCAGCCTAGCATTCCTCATTACGCATTCCAGTGTTTTAGGAGAGACATATTTATTGTTAAATAGGAATAACTTTGTATTACTCTGCATTGTACCACTCACAGCCCAACTGCAACTTCAGCAAATGGCACAGCAGCAACAGCAGCAGTTTCAGCAACAGCAGGCTGCTTTACAGCAGCATCAGCAGCAGCAGTTCCAAGCGGCAGCGCAGACAGCCATGCAACAGCAGCAGTTCCAGGTGGCAGCAGCAGCTGCGGCACAACAGCAACAACAACAGCAGCAGCAGCAACAACAGCAGCAGCAGCAGCAGCAGCAGCAACTGCAGGCAGCTCAGCAGCAGCACATACTGAAACTGCAATTGCAACAGCAGAACCAGCAGGTGGGGTGATTTCACATTCTTTGTAACTATCAGAAGTGAGGACTCTTACTATCAGTGTTGTAGTTAGTTGCATGTATGTGCGGTAGAATAATACTCCTGTGATTAGCCACTAGAGGTGCTTCCTGGCTCAGTGCTGCATAGTAGGCAGCAGTGCCGTTCTGCGTCCTCACGCTCTGCATGGGGACGCTGAATTTTCCTCATAGAGATGCATTGATTTAGTGCATCTCTATGAGGAGCTGCTGATTGGGCAAAACAGCGTTTGCCCCCACCCCCTTGCCGATTTCAGCCAATCCAATGCCTTCCCTAATGGGAAAGCATTGGATTGGCTAAAAATCGGCAATACTGATGTTACCAATGGGGCAGAGCTAGCGCTGGTGGACCCGCGCGGCACTGGAAATAAGGTGAGTTTTAATTGCTTTTAAGGGGCTAAGGCTGGGCAAGCCACCTAAATGGTGGGTTAAATACTCTTGGGTCAGGAATACATGTTTGTGTTCCTGACCCTATAGTGCTCCTTTAAACTTCTGTTGCCTGAACCCCATTATTAACTGAACCATGACTACAGAAAGCACATAGTTCACAAGTGTTGCCATCTGCCCAAGTGTTCCACGAATCACCATCTTCTGCAGCCCAAACCTAAAGGGTTGCTCCAACCACCATGCCCACTTCAGTGATTTCAGGTGGTCATGGTGGTAGGAGTCGGCATGTGCAGTCTTTCTGTAGTTTTGTATAGTGTTTTTATAGGGAACAAAGATGAGCTCCATTAGTACGGGAGCATACTAAAACAAAAATAAAGCATATTTGGTGAACCTACCTTTATATTATTAATGGAATTGTCACTTATACGTTTTGGTGTTATGTGACAGATAAGTTACCGGTAACTGCATTACCACCTATGAGAGCCTAGCAAAATGGCAATATGAGGATATAGAGAGCAAGACTGGGGTACCAAAACTACCTCAAGTATGTCTTACCACCTGCAATACTTTGTAAAATACAGGCAGTTTGCCTGCCAATCAAAGAGACACGATTTCTTATAGAATTTGGTGTTGCATAATCTCATTGGAGGACCAGAACATAGTTTTCTGTGGCCTTCCAAATGATTAAGATAATGTGAAGTTCCATGCCTGATAGAAAAGGCCTTTTTACGAGCCAGAGTAGCAAAATCTTTGCCAACGTTCCACTCGCAATAAAACGTGGGATTTTTTTAGGAACTGAAAGATGGACCAATTGGGAATAACAGGTGTAAGCTTACCAGAGCATCTCTTGCCTAGACTAATCTTGTGAGCGGGAGATAATTGCAGTATGAATACCAGTAATTTTCAGAATTTGGAGTACCGTATGTGTTTTATACGGTACAAGCAAATTCAATTTATAGCTGTGGGAATGGCTTTTAATCCGAGAGATTGTGAGAAGTTAGTGCACTCCTCTGTAATTCCCAGCCACCTTTTATTTTCCCACGGAAAGGTCTGGTGTATATAGCTGCTGGGTGAAAAGTAGAGCCAAGTTCTAAAACACAAATCTGGTATGCCAGCTTATACACACACAGAGTGCATATACAGAGTACAAAAAACTTAGTACAAGGATGCTAAGTTTATGGGTGCATGTGAGCCAGGGCCTGTAGGAGCTGCCATACTGTACTGGAGTGTTCTGTGGTATTCTCCAGTTTAAGCCAAAGAGGATCTGACTGAGAAGAATCCAGCATTTGAGCTAGAGCTGCAGCTTTGTAGTACGTCTTTATAACAGGAATCCCCGGTCTCCCCACCCTCACCAAAAACACCAATAGATCTATACAGCATGCAGAGTGTCTGCACCTCCCAATGTTTTAAGCAATAAGCCCTTAGAATTTATGTAGAACAGTAATGGGAAAGGAGACTGGTAAAGTACAGTTGGCAATGCCATCATGTTAATGGCATTAATGCGACCAAACATGAAAGCTTACGTTCGTCCAAAAGTAAAGAATTCTAGCTTAAAACTACATGGATATGGCACCATTACATATATAGAGAATTAGGCTTGCTAAATGCTTTTTCTGTGTCAAGTGCCAAAAGAGTGCTTATTCCTGAGTGGAAAGCATGTCCATTAAATATATTTCCCAGTCTCCAGGTACAAAATATTTCCCAGTCTCCAGGTACAAAACAACACCAGATGAGAAAATATGGGACTTAAGTGTGTGGATAGCATCTTTGCATATATCTTAGTATCTGCATGAAGCAGAAAAATTAGTAGAAAATTTCTGGTAGTGTGATGATGTGGACTTCCAACAGTTGCTTTGGGATAGTACCTGAGGCTCGTATATGATTATAGAGGTGAATGAGGTGGGCCACTCATATATGAGCATATTTTACAATTCCTGAAGCTGGCAGGACAGGAGGCCTTGTGGTTTAGGAGAGATTTTATAGCTTTCATGAACTCCTCGTTTGAGAATACAAAGTATTCCAACTGTGTAGTCGTCAGAGCATGTAGGGAAATCTCTGCCAATAAATCTTGAACATCTGTTGTGTATCTACTCTTTAAAAACACATTTATTCACACATAGCAAGCTCCATTCTATACATTAACAAACCTAGCACACTCCTTCAACGCATGTTGAAAAAAAAATCGGCCTGGATCTAGCGCAGCATAAACTTAATAAATCATTGCTTTTATTGACTAGGTAACCATTTCTTTTCTTTTTTTTTTTTTTTTAAATCTTTATTTTGTTGTGCATGGTAATAACTTAGCAGATCCTACAATGCCCCAACAGCACATGCAGGTTCAAGATTAAACATAGCATAGAGAAACATAACGGTTGATCAGCATTTTGATGAGACTGCACATTTTAAGGGTGCATAGGGAGAGAGCAAGTTATGCTTAACAATAGTGAGTTAACTAGCAAAACTAAATGCTTAAAAGTAAGTGTAAGCGAGATGCCCGTTGGAGTAGTGTAGGTTAGGCTTCAGATGTGAGTCGGGCATAAGATACACGTTGTGTCTCAAGCAAGGCTTATTAGAATGTAATACCACTGGGGGCTAGGTAACCATTTCTGGTCTTGTATATCTATATCTTTTTTTGTCCTTGAGTTAATTGTTGTTTAAAAGTGTTTTTTTTTATGTCCCCTTAGCAACTACAGCAGCAGCAACAGCAGCAGCAACAGCAGCAACTGAGATTGGCACATATTCATCAGATCCAGCAGGCTCAGGTCATCCAAGCACAGCAGCAGCCACAACAAATGCAGCAGCAACCACAGCAAGTCATGCAGATTCAGCAGATGCAGCAGCAGCAGCAACAGGTTGCCCAAAATCAGCAACAGCTGCTTTCCACCCAGTCTCAAGGACAGTCCATGGTGTCCCCGGTTATGTCTGTAACACTCACACCACAGCAGCAGCAGCAACAGCAACAGCAGCTCAAATTAATGCAGGTATTTTTTACAGAAATTTGTTTTTTAAATGTGGGTGTCAGCGCAGAGATGTCATTTTGTGTTAAAGTGTTTGTAATGACACTTTTAAAGGTTGACCTTCTCAGTGTTCAGTTTCTGCTATATTTCTTGTCCACAGACCCGTGTCCAGCAGCAGGCCCTACAGCAGGCTCAGCAGCAGCAGGCGCAGCAGCAGCAAGCGCAGCAGCAGGCTCAGCAGCAAGCGCAGCAGCAGGCTCAGCAGCAGGCGCAGCAGCAGGCTCAACAAGTTGCACAGCAGCAGGCCCAGCAGCAAGCTCAACAACAGGCACAGCTAGCAGCTCAACAGGCAGCCCAGCAACAGGCGGCTCAGCAACAGGCGGCCCAGGCTCATATGGCTGCTTCTGGTGGACAGGTAAGTGTAGCTGCTTTGATTTTTGTTTGGTGCATGGATTTCTGATTTGCAAAAGAAACAAATAAAGAAGCACTACAGACACGCGGCTTATGGTGCATTACAGCACTGTCCTCTAGGTCATATATACTCACAAGTAATTTCCCTTAGTCTGTATATTTGCCGTGGGAAGGATTAGTAGACTTTAATCCCCTGAGTGAACATTTTTTTTGCTTTAACCTCTAGGTGTGTAAAACTTTTTATATGGGTCAGGCTTAGCCCTAGAGGATCTCCTCTTGTGTTACAGTGCTTGTTTAATTTTGTTTCTTCTACGCTAGTTGAAAAATGCCTGCTGATATTTCATATGTTGATTTAGGTCTTTGTAATAATTTACAACTGATAACCCAGTATCTTTAAGTAAAATAAATTCTATAGGAGGTTCTATAAACGACTTTATACCGTTAAACACGTTGCATGCATAAAGAATACATACAAATTGGACAGTGTTTTAAAGTTGGTAGTTTCAGAGAAGATGTCTGTTGTTCTATTCAGGATGACAAATTCATCTAATCCAACTAGCAGGTCAGGTTAAACAGTGCTGCATCTGGAGATTAACAGACTGGATTTTTGTTACAGTTTTTTCCTTTTCTTGAAGGAGCAATATATGCATTATAACCTCCACGGGCCAGTGTAGTGATTATGGTGGCCAGAGTGTGGGTGACAATAAAATAACAATGGAGCATGACAAACTGTTTGGAAATGGTTCTCCCGCACTCAGACCACACGAATGGTGCAGAATTTACACTTCTTCATTAGCAATGTCACTTTTTTTATAATCTGGATGGAAGTGATTGACTAGATGGGGGCAGGTTAGTCCAGCACTCTCAACCTATCACTGTTGCCTAGGATAGGTGGAATTGACATTGATAGTTTTGCATAATCAGTGTGACTGAAAAGAGGTCTCTGGGTTCTGAGTAGAGCCTAATTTTATGAAACTGGTTCCAAACAAAAAAGGCTTGTCCCGCCTCCATGGCCGAGATCATTAATCTTTATGATCTCAGCTAAGCCAATTCTTTCCCATAGGAAAGCCTTATGAGGATACTGCGCGCATGTTCACTATGGGTAACATTTAGCACCTCCAAGCAGAGCGTGGAGATGCTTAACATAGGTGCTGCACGCTGACACAGGAGACCCGAGTGGCCGTCTGAGTGTTAATAGGCAGCAGTGTAAACACTGCCTTTTCTCTGAAGGCTATAGGGACAGGCTATAGACATCAGAACAACTACATAATCTGTAGTGGTTCTGGTGACTATAGTGTCCCTTTAAGAACTGCTTTTTTATCATTGAAAATTAAACTGGCTCCTAACTTTTTCAGCTGGCCCCTAAATTCCAAACAAATTTGTCAAGCCCTGCTTTAACTGTTATAGCACCATATGAGGTAGTGACCTTGACAGTACTTTTTGTTTCAGTTCTGTTTTAATTTTTGGGTTTATTTAGTAAACCTAGAATTGATGAGAATTAAAATTTTTAGACCAAAGTAACTAAAAGGGACACTATAGGTTTAGGAATGCAAACCTGTATTCATAATGCTATAGTACCCGTGTCCCAAGTAAATACAGGTTCCTTTTTTTTTTTTTTTTTTTACCAGCAGTGAGACTCCGTCAGCGCTACTTACCACTTCTCGTTCCTTGACATCCTCGAGGATGCATGGCCTCCTCTGCGGTGGTCCAATCCAGTGCTCCTCATAGAGGTGCATTATGGACCTGATGCACGTGCATTCAAGGTTTTTTTGGGGGGCGGTTTTCAGGAAAGTATTGTATTTACAGCTTTCCTATGGACCTCTAGGGTCTGTAATCATTACATACACTAGAGCAGGGTTACCCAAAAGGTAGATCCACAGATGTTTTAAAACTACAGCTCCCCTGATGCTTTGTCATTCTAAAGGCATGCAAAGTATCAAGGGAGCTGTAGTTCTACAACATCTGAGCATCTACTTTTTGGGCACCCCTGCACTAAATTAACACTGCTTCTAAAGGCTTCTAAAAAATTGCAGTGTTTTACATTGCAGGATTAAAAGGACAGTGCAATTACACTGCATTGAGATTACATGATCTGGATGACTATATTGTCTCTTTAATAAAAATATTTCCAACTGACAAATCATTCAGCTTTGGTACTTTGGCCAAAAATGCGTAATTGCTTTCACTTTTTTGCTGTAATTCCTGGTTTGGTGAGTAATCCATTATGACTTCTGGTTTTGTGGCATAATCATTACAATAACATTGTCTTATATGGTTGATCTGCTAGAATTTGACTTTTCATATGTTGAAATGGGAATGCCTTAAAAGTGATTAGCATTTGTCTGAATTAGCAGTTTTCAAACTAAATGTGTTTTTTTTTTTTTTTTGGTAAATATAGTTTTTATTGAAAGAGAAACATTTATTATGAAGACAACACTACATGTTAGTTTGAGATATGCAGGTCCAACACAATTCAAACTCAGTAATACAACCATTAAGGAACAAACTATTTGGATGGAAACGATATCGGAACATCGTTGGTTAGGTTATCTGATGCTATTGCACCTCATTTAGAACTCAATATCGAAGATCACTCCATCTTCTTGAATCATCTTGTTTATTGTGTTCTTTTAACATTTTTTTGCTGTTTTCCATAACCATTGTTTCTTCAGTCACTCACAAACATATTGGTTCTGACAGCAGCATTAAACCCCAACCATTTGTTCATATAACAATTTGAAGACTCTGAGATTTACAACTGTCAGTGCTACAGAGGATGTCGGCTTTTTACTCCGTACATGTATAACATGTACGGAAAACTTTTGGAATTTACGATCATTCCAGAAAGGCTGTATAGGGGCTGCCCAAAAGGTAGATTCCCAGATGTTTTAAAATGGCAACTTCCATCGTGCTTCATCGTTCTAAAGGCATGCAAAGTCTAAAGGGAGCTGTAGTTCTACAACATCCTGGGGATATACCCTTTGGGCACCCCTGGGCTAGATTATTAAAAGCGTATGCTGTAAAATTACCTGATTTTAAAAGGTGTTAAAACCACCAGCATAAAAGTACCTAGCTCTATAGAAATTGTACAGGTATGACTTAAGGAATAAGTTGGAAAACGTTAGTGAGTTATATGCTGCTCTGCCCATTTGCTGTGATCTGCAAACTATTGGTGCTGATATGTTATGCTTGAGGTGCTGACTTGTCTTCGGTAGTTTGTACTACTTGTCTTGCTCCCCAGGCCCCTTACAGTTGTGGCATTGCATGTGCTCCTTCCCTCCCCCTCCACAATTGCATTTCATGTTTTTACTTTTTGTCTGTGTACCTCTGTCCTCCAAAGATGTTCACCGCAGCTGTGGCTCGAGGTGGGATGCCAGTAAGACCCAGGTTCCCGCCCACCACGACTCCATCTGTCACGTCTCCAGGTTCCACTCCTTTGGGAGGACAGCAGATCCCACAGGTATTGACTGACTTACGGGTGCCAGAGTTGTGACATGGTCTGTTAGTAAGCTACCATCCTGCAGGTTCTAACCGAGCACAAATGCTTCTGTGGGGCAACCATAACCTGCTTCTCTGACCCTGTCAAGAATGTCATGTCTGTCTGGATAAAAGAAACACTTCATTTTTAAGGGTTGTTCTCAATAGTTAATAAAGTGTGGTGTTTGCTTTGTCTTACAAACTTAAACTAAGCTTTAGTGCTATTTAAGTACTGAATGTGGAAGTCATATTGTTATTTTCAAAGGGATTCTACACAGAATTCTAAAATGTTAAACACAAACTTTAATATTTGTGTACACATTTGTAAGATAACATTAACACCATAATATTGTAGTTAAGAACATATTTCTATGTAACTTTTACACAAAGTGTTCTTACTGAAGTGTTTTATAGGTGGTTGAAGTGGAGGTAAATATAAAATGTGATTGTCTCTTGTGGTCTTCAGTATAATATTGTAAAGCGCTGCGGAATTAGTTGGCGCTATCTGAATGCCAATAATAATAATTGGTGCTGCCATTTTATAATGATATATTCGATGCCAATGACTCTCTGCATATGTGCAGACTTGGGTTGTATGCAGTGAAATAGGAGATATTGGGAATTTTGAAATGGATGCCAGGCTGCACCAGAAGGACCTTGCATTTTATACAAATCCAATTTTATGCTATTAATTATTATAACTGTACTAACTTTTACTCTACTCTTGACAGAGTTCTCTCATGGAAATGACATTTCATTTTTAAGGTGCATATGTAGAGGGAATGGCCTGATGTTATGTTCCTGTCTTATGAATATTTGTTTTCTAGAGGGATTTGCTTTACCTTGGAAAACAATTAAGACTGTGTTTGATTTATATATAGCATTTACAGTAAGTCATTAATATATATGTGATGGTCATGGAATTACCCCTTCTTGTGCCATGATGCCTGCAGTCTGGCGGCTGTTATTATTCTTGCCTGAACATTGTCGGTGCTCCATGGTTTTAACCCCAGTATTCTCATAGGTGTTTTTTTTTCAGATGAGAATACTTGATTTCAGATCGAGTTTTTTCCTCTGATTTCTTAATGCAAGATCCAAATCAACACTAAAAGGGAAGGCTTCAGTGGCAAATGCATAAGCAATGATTCCCATTTCCTTTACATATATAGCTGAACTTGGCACAGTGAGGTACCTTTTATATAATGTTTTTTATTAAAAGGATACTCTAACCACCAAACCAACTTTCGTTTGATGAAGCAGTTTTGCTGTATAGATCATTGTACTGCAGTATCACTGCTTAATTCTCTGTCATTTAGAAGGTATATCATCACTTTATCCCTTTATCATCACCTCGCCTGGCTCACACAGCCTACATGAAAATCATGGTTTACGTTTCAATCGGATATGACAGCACAATGTGTTTACTTTAGAAGTTATCTCCTGCTCACAAGCAGCAAGCTCTTGCACGTTAATAACAGAGCAGGAGATGAGCACTTGTAAATTTAAAAGACTTTTAAATATTAGATCTCATATTACAGTGAGACTCTGTGGGTCACATGTAGGGAAGGCATGGCTATGGCTGCTTAAACAAAGTTAATTAACTCATAAATGTCAGGGAATGGAGCAGAGTCATGTTCTACACACCAAAACCACTCCATTAAGATACAGTTGATTTGGTAATAATACTCTTTTTTAAAAAGATAACTGACCCTTCAAAGCAGACCTGACAGGTGCAGCAGAAATATAATATTTTCATCTAGCAAAACCATAGTTAATTTTATCTGTAATAACCAGCTGACTTTTTCTGTGTTAAGATGGTCATCTGGGACTGGCATTACTGCTTTCCACTCACAGTCATAGTTTTTGATTTCAATAAGAAAAATTGTAGCTGTGAGCATGTGACATCAGCAGCCAGTCAGAGCCTTAGATTCTAACATGTGACCTGATTTACAAACAGAATTCCTCAGTGCAGAGAATATGGAGCCGTTGTTTGAGCTGCGTCGTGATATACACATACAAAAGGCTGTGCTAGCTGCAACCTTTATTTCAATTTATTTTAACTCTTATTAGTGAGGAGACTGCATGTTTCTGACCTGGCTAAAGTAACAAGATGTGTAGTACAAACAAATAGTAGAAGTTATTAGCAAAACATAATCCCTATTGCAACCTGCATGAAGGGAAAATCTACATTTGTATTTATCTTAAACAAGAAACAAACGGGCAATATAGGTGTAAGGCTTTATCAGACCATTCTCATTTAACATCTCCTGTCATTCCAATTACATTTATGCTCTTTGCCAGATCATTTTCAAATGCTTTAGGATAGCATCTCCCCTCATGTCATCTTTTGGAACATTTAATGCCCCTGGAATTTGTCGTCTTATCCACCTGTTCATCAGTAGCTGTTTATGAATGTGTGATCTGGTTATGTTAAAGCTCCGTGTTGATGTTTGAGATCCCATGTACAGGTGGTTTACAGCAGATATATCAATTGACAGAAATAGTATGTTGTGCAGTAGTAGGAGGAAACTGAATCATGTACCCAAGCTCTATGTCTAACTGTTTTTCCGCTTTATCAATCAGTTTCCCTCAACCCCCTGCTTGGACTTTCTATTCACTTGCAAAGTATCTGTTTATTTCAGGTTGCTCAGAGCAGCATATCCTTAATGTCTTCACCATCTCCGGTACAGCAAGTGCAAACTCCACAATCAATGCCACCACCCCCCCAGCCATCCCCACAGCCTTCACAACCCATGTCACAACCAAACTCCAATGTCAGGTAAGCAGTGCCTTTTCTTAATGGAAAAGGATAGTAAAAGGAAAACTTTGAATTGAGGTCCCCATTGTTGATAGCACTGTTGCTTGTAGGGTAACCATCTTTTACACGGGCTTATTAGTATTTAATGTTTAAATACACATGTAATTTGAAATGTCACAATGTGTGAATAAACAATAGAAGAAAAGACTAGGCATAGGTCTAAAGTGCAGGCAGTTTATTGCAGGAAGGCCAGCATCGTTTCGACTCATGATAGATCCTTTATCAAGCTTTATATGTCTGGAGCCGAAACATTGCGTCTTTCATCCAATAATTTGGCCTGTGCTTTAGACCTGTGCCCAGTCTTTTGTTCTATTGTTTGCTACTATTGTTGAATTTGGTAACCTCTGGACTGGAGACACGGTTGCTGTCTCTAAATGTATGCCTGCCTGACATTATTTTCAGATTGGTGCTTTCTACAGACTTTCACCCATCAGCATACCTGGAGTGTTGCCCGCTGTCTTTTGGTGTTCGCAGTATTTAAAGGGATACAGTAGGCATCAAAACAGCTTTAACTTAATAAAGTAGTTTTGGTGTATAGATCATGTCCTGGCAGTCTCACTGTTCAAGTCTCTGCATTTAGGAGTTACATCACTTGTTTCTGTTTATGCTGTGCCAGCCACACTTTGCCTGGCTGAAATAAAATGGTTTAATTTTCAATCAGATGTAGCTTGCTTTAGAAGTTACCAGCTCCTGCTCTACAAATTGAACTTATATCACAAACAAGATGCTTCTACAGGTTCTAGAAGGCTATCTACATAGCAGGATATATGAAATTCTATATTACACAGATTGTGCAATAATGGCATCTAAATTACATAGAGTCCTTTTGAAAGGTGTTTAGGGAGGCTTTGCAAATCACATGCATGGAGGTGTGACTAGGATTGTATAAACAAAGTGATTTAACTCCTAAATCGCAGATAATTGAGCAGTTAGATTGCAGAAACCTGATCTTTACACCAAAACCGCTCCATTAAGATAAAGCTTTTTTTGGTGCCTATAGCATCCCTTTAAGCCTTAAGAGTGAGGAAGATGGGTCTATTCCTTACTGTACTTTTATTTTTCTGCTTTCCCCCTAAAATCAACCTTCTGGGTTTATGTGCTATCTTCTGCAGCTCCGGTCCAGCACCTTCGCCAAGCAGCTTTATGCCTAGTCCATCCCCTCAGCCATCCCAAAGCCCAGCATCGGCTCGCACACCTCAGGCTTTCAGTGTCTCCTCACCAGGACCTCTAAATACCCCAGGTAAGAGGTATAGCCTTGCTCCAGTAAAAGCTGTAGAATATTGGGTGCTGCTCTGTGTTTCTGTACTCTAGATACCCTAATCTCTCTCTCTCTCCTTCAATGGCACAGGAAATCCAAATTCTGTGATGAGTCCTGCAAGCTCCAGCCAGTCAGAGGAACAGCAATACTTGGAAAAGCTAAAGCAGCTTTCAAAGTATATAGAGCCATTGAGACGGATGATTAACAAGATTGATAAGAATGAAGGTGAGTTTCAGGTCACTTTGGGCCACACTTATGAGAGTTCTGAGCCTACCCTGGGCTGCCTCTTTAATGTCTTATAATTGAAAAGTTAGATTTAATAGACCACAAGGGGAAGCTGGCCAAAAATGGCCTTTGGTCAGACAACTTGCAGTGCTATTTTGATTGTTTCTTGTGTCTCAGTGCTTGTTGTTGTGCTAGGAATTATAACCACTTTAAACTATATATATATGAGCGAGAAATTGAAATTCCAGCACTCCAACTATATATATATTAATATTGCCTGGTGCCCAGTCAAAATGCAATATACAAAAATGAAAATAATACCGGCACTCTAGGTCTCCCAAAGATTGTTGGTTTATTGTAAATCAATCCAGAGGGTCAACGTTTCAGCTTCCTGATGAAAGCTCCAAACGGGAGCTGAAACGTTGACCCTCTGGATTGATTTACAATAAACCAACGATCTTTGGGAGACCTAGAGTGCCGGTATTATTTTCATTTTTTTATATATATATATATATATATATATATATATATATACATATATATACACACACACAAATGGATGGACTTTTTGTTAATACTACTAGATTGTAAGAAACCATGTTCCTTCATTTGTATTCATGCATGCCCTGTCTTGTAGTTAACTATATCTGGAATCCTATTATCATAGAAACACTGTGTTTTCTATTGTTTAAAATGTTGTTGACTTATTTTTTTTAATTCTTTATTTATATTGTGCAAGTTATAACAACAAAGCTTTGTAGGCCACGACAGCACTTCCAAGCAGAGAAATAGGTTTAAGAAGCATAGTCATGGCATTCGATTAGACAGCACATTTTTGTATTGTAAAATGCAAGAAAAGGTCTATTCTGGTAGAAAAGGTGTAGACTGTAGTGTGCTCTGACAGACATTTTGAGTAGAACACAAGTTTTAGAGGAGGAATTGGAAGTAGAGAAAACGAGTAGGCTCCCCAGACTGACTATTCATGTAACAATAAGTTTGTTTACGCTAGGCACGGTTATAAACATAATCTACAGAGTTTAGATATTAGCACAACATTAGCTAATAATTGTAGATATTTTGTTAAGTGGAAGCAAGATTATGAGTGTCTCAATATGCATATGCCTATCATGGCAAAAAAGGGTTAAAACAAAAATAGATGACAACATAACATATAACATAGTCAGCCAGGTAAGCCAAGGTGTCTGGTATAGTCCACTGGTGCCCTGCAAGGTGGGTCATCTGGTCTGGCAGCCTGATATTGATGGGGTATCCACGCAGGCAGATCCGCTGTGGGATTAGAAGCCCCCTCCGTGCTGTGTGCTCTGGGTACCCTGCCGCTGCTGGTTCCTCGTGGCCATCAGTGGGGATCCTGTACAAGCTAATCTTAAGGCCCTGGAGGGCAATCGCGGCAGCCAAGCTTCATTCGTGAGTAGGTAGACAGGGACTTCCAAGATGGGACTTCACTTGTGTTCAGGCTTGTGATTCGTAGGTAGGAGTTATGCTCAGCAAGCTGTTTCCGCATGCGGGCAGGCAAAGCTATGTTGCGTGGTATTGGTCGCATTGCCGCCATTTTGGTGCCCAGGCGCGTGATACACAGTGCCAGGTAGGCTGGATGGTGGGCCAGTGGAAGGTGGTATTTTCCTCCAGTGGGGACCGGGATAACCCCCCGGTCCATGGGGGGGAAGCGGGACCCGCGAGGCGCATCGCACGGCCGTTGCATGGCAGCCAGGTTTGCAAACAGGACGGCGGCCATCCGCCCCGCTCTTCACCCTCATAGGCCACAGACCCCGAAGCCTCATATCGCCCACAGGGGCTCCGAAACTCCCGATCTCGGGGACCGCGGTGGCTCCAGCAACTGCCCGGATACCTGAGAACTTTTGGGCACTAGTATTGCTGTGTTGCTTGGATCTTGTGCCAAAGGGGACCCAATTTTGTCAGGAGCCTCTCCAACCCACGACCGGTCAGCATGGCGGTCGGGCCCCGCCCCCCGTTGTTGACTTATTTTACTCCATATAACTAGGTAGTTCATCCTGGTATTTGTATAGTCTAAAATACCTAATAAACTTCAAATTTGGGTAAAGCAAATCTATATAAATACAATATTTAAATTTTGAAACCCTATTCTATAGTCTTCATGTGTTTTAGGGCTCAATGCACTATGTTTGTCCTTTGGATTTTAGAAAGAAAGAAAGATCTTAGCAAGATGAAGAGTCTTCTGGATATTCTCACAGATCCTTCCAAGCGGTATGAATCTGTCCTGTGGGTTTACTTTCAATATATGTTGCGGACTGTCCTCTAACTCACATTCTGTTCTTCTCACAGGTGTCCTTTAAAGACCTTGCAAAAGTGTGAGATTGCTCTGGAGAAGCTGAAGAATGACATGGCTGTGGTGAGACGCCTTCACATTTAATTTTCTTGGAGACCCTGGGAGCTTTTCATGTTGTATGAGAACATATAAGTACATGCAGAGTGGGAAAAGACTTTGAAGATCTGGGAAGCTTTTGCAAAAACATTTCTGCTAAAAAAGTCTTAGACAAAGCATGGGCAGACATGTCAAAACTGTTTTCCTAGATTTTTTTTTTCTTGTCTACCTATTTTACAGCAATGTATAATATGTTGGCAATACATAAATAATTATAAAGCATCTGGATCTGCTTGAATTGATATAATTTATGTAAAAGCAGAAAATAATGTCTCATGCTCCCTTGCAAAGTGCACCTTGTATGGGTTTTGAAGAGCACCTTTTTTGTAATATGTAGTGGAATTATAGTGTGCTCAGTCCTATGAATGGAGCTTGCCTGTGCAAAGCTGTAAAACCAGTGGAGGGAATAGTGTATGTAGATGTATCAGTCATGTAATTTTTTAAATAACAGAGTTCTTCATTAAAATATAAATGGTCTGGAGTTTAAGTGCATTTAAAATTTTGGTTCAAAATAACCTAACTCGGAAAATCATAGCCACTTAATATTTTCAATTTGACTGTTCTGGCCTGTAATTTAGAATGATAGGAAATGTGGGTTTAAAATGCCAATTTCACACAAGTTGGATGCTAATTTGGCTGGTAACTATAAGTTTGTATTATTTGTGTGCACACTTTTTTAGCCAACACCACCGCCACCCACAGTTCCTTCGACTAAGCAACAATATCTCTGCCAGCCACTCTTGGACGCTGTCCTGGCTAATATTCGATCACCAGTATTCAACCATTCCCTGTATCGAACCTTTATGCCAGCAATGACTGCTATTCATGGACAGCCAATAACGTGAGTCCTTGCCACAGTTACTCTTTTCATTAAACATGCTGTCTTTGCTTTTGGTGTTAAGCCATGGTTGAACAGTGTAACGCAGAAGTTCTGTCCCAGATGTAAATCATGCCACGTTCTCACTCTTTTCTTGACCACTAGAACACTATAAGGTAAGACAGTATCTGGATACTCCTGGCCACATAATAATTTCATCGAGCTGAAGTTGTGTGGCTGGAGTGTTCCTTTAAATATGAACATTTAACTATCTTGTTACTACAGTAGATAACAGTTTGGAATTGTTGCACACACATTTGTTAGCTTACTTTGTCTTAGTTGTCATCTGTTTGTAGACTTTCAGAGTAAGAGGCCAATGAGCACAAACAGATGCATACATACATAGAAAGACTGTTGCACCAAGACACAGGGTTTGAATTCATAAAAATTCTCTGTTTACATATTTGTGAAGTCACTTATATTGCAATTTCAGGAACAAACCCTATCAGGCTTATTGACTAAAGTGAGAATTCAAAGTGAATTTCCATTTTAAGGCCAAAATAGCTTAACTGAAATCATAGTTAATGTTTTCGGGTCAGCTATTTTTTTTTTAACCTTTAATTCACTTTTAATTCTCACTTTAGTGTTTGCTCTGACAAGATCCACTGAAAGCTTGCAGAGCTACTCAGCTCAGTGGAAACTATCAAGAATGTCTGATTCAGGGAATGCCCATAGCCTAATTTGCTTTTGTAAAGACTTGATTGCAATCAGTTTGTCTTTGAGTGATTTTGGTTAGTTTTTTGTGTGCCTAGTACCGTATTTTTCGCTCCATAAGACACACCTCACCATAAGACGCACCTAGTTTTTAGAGGAGGAAACCCAGAAAAAAAAATATTCTGAACAAACTGTTCCATAGTGTTTCTTACTATGGGACAGTTTGTTCAGAATATTTTTTTTTCTCCCCTGTCCCATAATGATCTTTAACCCCCCTTTCCTCTGTCCCATAGTGATTGTTAACCCCTCCTCCCCTGTCCCATAGTGTTCTTTAACCCCTCCTCCCCTGTCCCATAGTGTCCCATAGTGTTCTTTAACCCCTCCTCCCCTTGTCCATTAGTGTTCTGATCCCATAGTGTCCCCCCCTCCCATTGTCCCATAGTGCACTTTCCCTCCCATAGTGTCCCCCCCTGCCCTTGTCCCATAGTGTCTCCCCCTCCCCTTGTCCCATAGTGTCCCCCCTCCCCTTGTCCCATAGTGTCCCCCCCTCCCCTTGTCCCATAGTGTCTCCCCTCCCTTTCTCCCATAGTGTCCCCCTCCCCTTGTCCCATAGTGTCTCCCCCCCTCCCCTTGTCCCATAGTGTCTCCCCCTCCCCTTGTCCCATAGTCTCCTCCCCTCCCTTTCTCCCATAGTGTCCCTCCCCTTGTCCCATAGTGTCTCCCCCTCCCCTTGTCCCATAATTACTTACCTGTCTTGGAGCGTGGGCCGGCTTCACAGCGCGCTCCGCGGTCCAGGAACTTCTATTTCAGGTTCCGGTTTCCGGCGGGACTGAAAGGAAGTGTGCACACTTCCTTTCAGTCCCGCCGGAAACCGGAACCTGAAATAGAAGTTCCTGGACCGCGGGGCGCGCTGTGAAGCCGGCCCACGCTCCAAGACAGGTAAGTAAAGCTTTACATTCGCTCCATAAGACGCACAGACATTTTCCCTCACTTTTGAGGGGAAAAAAAGTGCGTCTTATGGAGCGAAAAATACGGTACAAAACCTAGTTGGGAAAGGGGGTTTAACTAGTATGAGTGGAATTATCCAGATGTTTGCTGCATTAATGTAGAAATCTGATTGTTCAAAGTAATAAAACATTCACACCAGGATTCCAAAGGTCTGAGTAGGCAATTTAGTATTTAACCTTTAATTGTTCTTAGTGTAGTTTAGATGTGGCATACCTTTACTTTGTGCTTTAAATTATGCAGGTTTGTCCTTACATGTTATACATACTAGTTAATTTACCTCTGCAGTGCAGCAATGGATCAGCAAGCTTTATTTCAATATATTCATCTTTTCTTTACAATGTATTTTGGGGTTAAGGCCCACAGTATATATGCAGTGTGACATTTTTAAAATGACCACAAAATTAAACTTCTAACATAATATGGTTCTCGCTGTTTCGTAGAGCCCAAACTGTTACACCTCGGAAGAGGAAGTTTGATGAAGATGAAAGACAAAGTATACCAAACGTACTTCAAGGGGAGGTTGCCAAACTGCACTCTAAGTTTTTGGTGAATCTTGACCCTTCCCACTGTAGTAACAATGGAACTGTACATCTTATATGCAAGTTGGGTGAGTCACCGATATTTCCCACTGTCTCCTCTTGGTGCTATGTACATCTTCAATGGACAGTCCACACACAGATTGTCCAGGATCATATTTGAATTATCCAAAGAAAGTCATCCTCTGCTGCACTTCAGTGCTACTCGTATCTCAATAATTGAAAAGAAAAAATGATAAGGCACCTAGTGGAAAGATGGCACACAGAAGTTATGTGGAACTTCCCTAAGAAACCTAATGTATCATGGAGCGATGACATTGCCAACACAATGAAATGCAGCAGAAATATTTTAAAGTCTGCTGCACCTCTTACCCCTGTGAATATTTCAATGTTTACTAGCGTGAAGGATTTAGGAACGATCATTTTTAGAGAATTTCCAGCCCAGTGTAGTTTAGCCTCTGTACTTTTGATAAAATAAAGTGTCCCATGCCAGTTTTAAATATATTTATTTCATATTCTCTAGATGATAAAAACCTACCAAGTGTCCCACCATTGCAGCTTAGCGTCCCGGCTGATTATCCAGAACAGAGTCCTCTGTGGATGGACAACCCACGACAATATGGTAACTAATGACTATTATAAGTTTTCATAATCATTAACAACTGTAATGAAGTCCTTAAGTATGACACGAATAGTCCAACGTACAATATAGATGTAACTAAATGTTTCCAAACTGGGAAATATGCCATTCAATGTTTATCATGAAAAAAGAGACTTTTAGAGGTCATGGACAGATTTGTTACTTAACAGCATTATATCTAAAAGCATGGAAGCATAGCCAGGCCTGCACGTTAATTTAATAGTTGTATGCTTTTTTTTTTTTTCTAGAAGCGAATCCATTCCTGCAGTCTGTTTATCGTTACATGACCTCCAAACTCCTCCAGCTCCCTGACAAGCACTCTCTCACAGCACTATTAAACACCTGGGCCCAGAGCATACGCCAGGCATGCCTGTCTGCTGCATAGAGATTGAATAACTTTCATCACAAAAAAAAAAAGAAAAAAATGAATCCAGTGTGGAATGGAGTCTTCAAATGCCTTATATTTTTTTTGGGGTCCAATATATTTAGAAGCACGTGAGGACTGCCCTAACCACGAAGAACTATGTTTATCAGCTGTCACTTTTAAAACCTGGCCTGCGCTTATCCATGAATACATTTGTACTCCATTCAGATAGCACTAATGTTCTAGGATGGTTCCTGTGATGGAATCGAGGCAAGACTGACTGAAAATGTGACGCCTTATTCCATTTCTCCTCGTTAGCATGGCTGAGAGAATATTTAAATAGTACTCAAGGGTGAATTCTGCTTTCTCTTACGGTGGTGATTGCTAAATCCTGGTGCACATAGCATCAGTATCGCATGTATTCAAAATGTAACACTTATTGTATCAGGCAACATTTGCATAGGAGTGAATTTTAATTGCCAATTGGTTTATTAAAATACATGGAAAATTGTCTCCAGGGAATGCTATACTTATTGGAATAACTATTACTGCTGCTGCACTTTCCAAATGAAAGATATCCTGGTTTATTGCCCTAGAGAACAGCTGTGCGTTCCCTGTAAACAGTGTTCTTATGAAGACATTCAGCTAAACGATTTGTTGCTTCCATTCCCTCAAAACCAAAGGTTTTATTTACTAAACAAGGAATTGAAAACGGATTTTAAAAATGCAGGCCACTTTATCAGAATTTCTACAACCAATTTGGCCTGCATTTTGCCCAGAATGGCCTCCAGTTAACCACAATTTATAGCTGAGCAGATAAATATCTCTTCCTGTGCCCTCCAACTCCCCAATGATACTAGAGCTCCCTTTATGATAATGATTTAATGTAACACCCACTGAATGCGGTTTCCTTGAATAGCTTTTGCTTTCCTCTATCGATCAGCAGTGTTGCTCCCCAGAGTTAGACTGAGAGCTGGTAAAATAGGTTTTTCGATGCTGGATGTCGGGAGGTTCACCCTAAGGACATAATAATAGAGTGAGTGAAGGCTTCCAAATCCAGCTCAAATGTTACACAACATGCACAAAATGGTATTAATCTCTGTGTACAAAACACATGTAACCTGCATACTGAACCAAATACTCTGCTAGTAAGACCTTTGGTAAAAAGACAGCATTATTGCTTTATAGGAAGCAGGCATGTGTACAAAACCTGTTAACTAAGGGCATAATGATAGGATTTTTGCCACGATAAAAAAAAGCAATCTATTGTAAATTTTTATTAATTCCTGTGTGTTTCAGAGTACTCAATGGAATATATCTCCCATAAATAGTGTGTCCTGAACATTATGGCATGACTATAACTGTTTGAATTGCCACGTGGCAGTCGGTTTATTTTTGCCTATATATACTTAAAGGGACACTATAGTCACCAAAACAACTTTAGCTTAATGAAGTAGTTTTGGTGTATAGATTATGCTCCTGCAGTCTCGGTGCTCTATTTTCTGCCATTTAGGAGTGAAATTACTTTGTCTGTGCACCATAGTGACATCTCCCTGCATGTGACTTGCACAGCCTTCCTAAATACTTTCTGTGAAGAGTCATCTAATGTTTAAACTTCATTGCAAATTCCGTTTAATTTATAATTTCGTTTCTCCTGGTCTGTTAATAGCCTTTTAAACCTTGCAGGAGCCTCCTGTATGTAATTAAAGTTTAATTTACAGAGCTGGAGATTAAAACTTCTAAAGTAAGTTAACATCTGATTGAAAGTGAAACCATTTTGTTTTCATACAGACTGTCAATCACAGCCAGGGGAGGTGTGGATAAACCTGCAAAAGCAGAAACAAAAGTGATTTAATTCCTAAATGGCAGTGGATTGAGCATTAAGACATCAGAGGCATAAGTTATACATCAAAAACTACTTAATTAAGCTAAAGTTGTTTTGATTACTATAATGTCCCTTTAAACCAAAACTTTCATACTTGATAACACGGCCAGATTCAGTGCCTGAATTGGGACACCACTGAGATGTGTATTTACGTGCACCCCTCTTCCATTGATGGCAGGCTCTTTCTATGAACCAGTGATAAGGGAGCAAATGAGATGGTGGTGGTGTTGGAAACAATGCTCACAATGACGGAGTAGAAAAGGAAATTGATATGCTGATTTTATATATTGCACTGACTTTAATATGGGGTTAATATGTTGGTAAAGTTTTTACTTTAATACATTTTCTATAACTTTGGAGCTGTGCTTATCACCTTTTTTTTATGCAAATGGACTTTTGATACATTTAAAAGAGGGGGATGATGGCGTATTTTTTTGTTAAAAACTAGCCTCCTGCAATTCACACAGGGTGTGTTCATATTGAAGCCTTAACCCCTGTGTTGTAGTTTAGTATATATAGAATGTCAGGCTATGTTTTAACATACAGTATGGCTGGGTTATACAACATGGGACAATGTGTAGTTTTTTTTAATTTAAAATCTGCAATAGAGTATACATATACAACTGTGAAATGTAATTTACATAGCCGTTCTATCAAGTGCAGGAATTCTTAAAACTTTTTTGCAATTTGCTGAGGTTGATGGCTAAAGATATGAGAGATCTGTTAAAGTACAAAACAAAGAACCCTGAAAATCTTTGGAGGAATATTGTAATTTTTTGTGTCCATAAGCTTGAGAAAAAGCTTATTTCAGGAGTGGAATATTGTTATATGGTTACTTTAAAACAACGAGCCCCTCCCTCCAAGTATGATCTGAACCCACTGTACAGCGCAGTGGAATTTGTTGGTGCTTTATAAACAATAATAAATTGCACAGAGTAAAATGTATAATGTGTGGCTCCATGACACTTTTTCAAATTGCTTTCTGGACCACATGAGCTGACTTCAAAGAATAAAAAACATCCCATAACGTTGAACCTTTTTCGTATGACAGGGTCTTACCTTTCATGGATCCTTAGTAGTGATTTAGCCTGGTGTTGGGTCTCTATGTTCCAATCATTGGCCTGAATAACATTTTTCAAAAAGGCTTTGATGTTCAGGAGCTACAAGAGGACATTGGCATGATTACAAACAATATAATCTGTTACTGCTTAAAATGTGCCCTCTCCACGCTCACCTCTTGTGTCACCTGGTAGTTCGTTTTTCACAGATCGTGAATGATTTTCTTGCACTCTGCCAATGTGGTTGCTGTAGGTGGGTGTGATGAAGAATGGTGGTCTAAAGGTGGGATCAGATAAGTAACAGGGATATAAGCAGACATTTTCTTCTGACTCTGAAGATGACTGTGTGTGTTGTGTCCTGTAGACACTCTTGCATTTCCCTTCCTAACAAAAAAAAAAAGATTTAATGGGGAAACAACAAAGCATAACAATGTTATTGTGCTTCTGTACCTTCATTGATCAGATAGCCTTGGTAAACCCCAACCTAACTGCCCAGTAAACACTCCCACCACAAATTAATTTGTTAAGTGTGACCTTTTTTCATTTTACAAAGTGCAGATTTCAGTAGACATTGGTGCATTTATAAGTTAAAGGAACACTATAGTCACTTAAATTACTTTTAGCTAAATAAAGCAGTTTTAGTGTATAGATAATTCCCCTGCAATTACACTGCTCAATTCACTGTCATTTAGGAGTTAAATCACTTTGTTTCTGTTTATGCAGCCCTAGCCTCACCTCCCCCGGCTATGATTGACAGAGCCTGCATGAAAAAAAAAAAAACTGGTTTCATTTTCAAACAGATGTAATTTACCTTAAATAATTGTACCTCAATCTCTAAATTGAACTTTAATCACATACAGGAGGCTCTTGCAGGGTCTAGCAAGCTATTAACATAGCAGGAGATAAGAAAATCTTAATTAAACAGAACTTGCAATAAAGAAAGCCTAAATAGGGCTCTCTTTACAGGAAGTGTTTATGAAAGGCTGTGCAAGTCACATGCAGGGAGGTGTGACTAGGGTTCATAAACAAAGGGATTTAACTCCTAAATGGCAGAGGATTGAGCAGTGAAGTTGCAGGGGCATGTTCTATACACCAAAACTGCTTCATTAAGCTATCGTTGTTCAGGTGACTATAGTGTCCCTTTAACCAACCTTGTTACACCCCCCGTCTGTCAATTGAACGACAAGTCCTGTTACTTCCTGGTTTAGTTAGCAAGACTCAAGAGGCAGACAATTGCTCAGGGCACCTGCCTGGCAAAGATTTCTCATTGAGCTGCATTGGGAAGTCTGTGATTGGACAGCCACAAAAAGTATGAGCTGGGGAACACAGGGCTTGGAAAAAGTTGCAAACGAGATCTACTACACTTTTTGCACACTTTTTTTGATATATCTTAAATGAAACAAAGGCATAATTGAATATATGCAAGTTTTAATAGGGGGTATGTATAATAAGTAGTGTTTGTTTTTATTCGGGCAATGGAGAGTCCCTGTAAGCAGTTGAATGAACTCCAGAGAATCAAGATCTGGGTGTACAAGAATGTGTGTGCACAGCCCTCTATGTTTGAAGATATATTAATTCTGTGCTAGTTTCCTATGTTTTCATAATATTGTAGATCATGTTCTTAAGAGCAATACATGAAACTTTTCACATGTTCTATGTCAGGGGTAGGCAACATTCGGCACTCCAGGCGTTGTGGACCAAATCCCCCAGAATGCTCTTACACCCATAATGCTGGCAAAGCATCAAAGGAGGTGTAGTCCAAAACATCTACAGTGCCGAAGGTTGCCTATGCCTGTTTCTATGTTATACTTAAGCTGGTGTGTTTTTCTTATTTTCTTTAAGCTCAGATTTAGAATTTGGTCTTCATTTAACATGTCTCCAATAGTCTTCTCTTCTGGATTGCCTTCTATATTTATCTGATCTGTTAAAACAAGACAATCGCCTGCAGAGCCTGGCTGAGAATGATCAGTAGTGGTGCTGTGTGACTGAGAGCTGTGCCCTGCAATATATTAATGACTATTTTATTAACTAAACATACATGTGAAAAAACAAAACATAAGATATCACCAACATAAAATAAACAAAGTATGAACATTTCATTTTTTTGGTGGTAGCGTCCCTTTAGGCATCAAACTTCTAGCACAAACTGCATGCATTGTCCCCAAAATATTATAGAATATCTTAATATTTAGATCTGGTATTGTTTCCTTTAAATTAATTGATCATTGCTTATTTTATATAATATGCCTCAGTACTCTCTGTAAACCATGGTTTGCTCAAGATATATAGAACTATTCACTAAAGTGAGAATTCAAAGATAATTTCAAAATGAAGGCCAAAGTAGCCAAAATAAAAGCATAACTAACTGGGAGTATTTTTCTGCTTTAGCTATTTTTAGCCTCCAATTTGAAATAACCATGTGTGTGTTATTACAGCTGTCTTCACATGTCTATGCCAGTGAACAGTTTGACAACTTACCTGGGGTTGGCTGGCCACAGTCTCATTAGTTCCTGCAAAGGGCTTCTGATAGCACCATTGAGCGAAGTCCTAAGCCGGCTCATTGGCTGAAAGCTCTCAGTCAGAGAGTAAAAGAGACACTCCAGGCACCCAGACCACTTCTGCCCATTGGTCTGGGTGCCAACTCCCACTACCCTTAACCCTGCAAGTGTAATTATTGCAGTTTTCATAAACTGCAATATTTACCTTGCAGGGTTAACTCCTCCTCTAGTAGCTGTCTACTAAACAGCCACTAGAGGGCACTTCCGTGTTTACCATTATTTGCCAATGCAATAATAAGTTTATTTTCATTAAAAATATGTCACTGATTCATACACATGGGTTTTTTTCCTTTTAATTAGTGTTGCACAAACTATATAGAAACAAATATATGTTAATGAATGCAGAGTGCCAAACAGTAAAAGAGTAGATTCATAGAGCAGATCTTTTTATAGTAATTCTTACTACAGCTCAGTGAAAGCAGGAAACGCATTCTCACGAGCTTACACTAGCTCACCTGAGCCTATCCCTACAGTACAGAGGTTACTTATTGACACCCTAGGCCAGAGATGGGGAACATTTTTGAGCCCGAGTGTCCAAACTGCAATACAAACCAACTTTTTTCCTTTAAAATGCCAACATGGCAATTAAACCTGAATTCTGGAGTTTAAGTTTAGGAAAAAAAAAAACTCATAAAGTTGTCCGAACTAATTAACTTTTGTTTTAAAAGAACACAACAGAGAGTTCAATGATACAAACTTCTTTTTATTGAACATTAACTGGCTACTTAGATACACACACATGCTCACGATGCACAGACACATTTACACACTGACATACACAGAGACTGGCACTCACAGATACATTACTCAGATACACATGTTACAGTTAAAGTGAGAAATCAGTTAATGTTCACATTAACTAGTGAATCTGCAGATTAACTGATTTGCTCAGTTAAAGTGCGGAATCAAGAGTTTTCTGCACTTTACCAAGGTCGTGCACATTAACTGCTTCCGTATAGTTAAAGTGCAAATGTTTTTTTTCCCCCTTGGTAAAGAGGAATTCTTTATTACAAAAAAACCATCCTTGCAGAAACCAGTTTCACCCTTTTTAAGTGCAAAATGTTGTTTCTTTCCCTCGGTAAAGAGCAAATTATTACAAAAACGCCCTTGCAGAACCTGTTTCACCCTTTCAGTGCTGTCTCTGCAGTCGTTCACTTCTCGTCTGAAGGCAGAAAGATTCCGTGTGAACCTGTCTTGATTCTTTTGAGAGCAAGTTCCTTTCAATGCCTTCCATCAATTTCTCAAAGCATAGACGCATGGCTTTTTGCTTCTCAGAGGGGGCTGGCTACTAACAATGCTGCTCCGTAAGTCCGAGAAATACTTCTCATTGAGGAGAATGAGACAAAGGAGAGGTCTGCTCATGGACCACTGATTCCGACACTCTTCAAATATGATGATGATATTGAGAATATTGTATATTCTAACTAAGCTGCTGCGCATAATGGATACATCAATGTCTTTCCTCCACTATAAAGTTTGCCATCAGCTCTGCATCTGTCGAGAAACCACAACCCGCATGATGGCTTGTTAATGTATGGGTAGCTGAACAACTTTTTCTACACAGAGCAGACTGTCAGTTTTTTAAAGGCACACCCTTCCATCCAATGTGTGTGTTATTGTACACAAACAGCCTAAAAGTCTTTCCACTGAAGAAGGTCCCACCTGTTTCACACACATACCTGTGGCTTCCTGCCTCAGTTTCTGGATCTCCTGATGCAGGCTCCGCAAGGTGTCTGCATGTTCATCTTGCAGGAACTGGATCCTCCTCTCCAGAACGGTCACTTTTTGGCCAGAACACAGGGTTCCAAATCCAACAGACTCTCTGTTCCATCAGTAGTGGGGGAGTTGAGAAGGGCTCCCCCCTGGCGTTCAGGTTCGGAACAGCCGCGGTGCGGTAGGTGCACAGGTGTGCTGCTGTTTGAACTATCCCTGCTCATGTTGGTCTTTTGGAAAGTAGCCCAGTCTATACTTTCTATACTGGCTGTCTCTGAGTCTGACATCCCTACTCTGTGATCCAGACTGCCCCTCTCCTGGCAGCGTTATACTCACTCCGTACAGTAACATGGCGTTCTTGTGTTGCTATAGAATCAGTTGTCGCATCCTTTGTCAATCGCTCACTTCCTGGTTTAGCTTGATAAACACCTACCTACACAGTACCCAGAGCAGGGTTTATTACTATTAGTACTTGAGGCGGGAAACCATTACCTGGGATGGGAATCTAACTACTTCCCAATAAAATGGGTTACAATAAGGGCTGCCCTATTAAGGCTTCATTTATTGCTGTAATTACCTAAAATTCATGTAGAGAACCGATTTTACAATAAATAAAGTTTAAGGTTGTAAGTTGTTTTTTTGTTTGTTCTGTTTTGTTTTCTTAGATAAAGGGGTGATGAACTTTTACAAACTATTTATTACTCAGTGCAAGCATTTAAAAGTTTAATATATATATTTATTTTATTAATTATATTTATAACCAAAGCAGCTGGTACACTTTATAGGCTTCTCTTGAAGGGACACTAACTCTAAGCACTAAAACCAGTACATCCTAATAAGGTGCTGGCGAGTAAATGCTGTTTATTTCCTCATACAATGTAAACCATTGCAATTTCTGAGAAATAACATTTACATTTGGTGGAAAATATAACTGACAGAGAAGCACTGTATTGCCCTGTGCTTCTGATTGGACAAAAGTAATCAGGATTCATAACCTTACTAAAGGTGTGCAGTTGCTGGAGACTGGAGTAAAGATAGCCTTTATGGCTTGTTTGATTATTTCAAATGCAAATAAACACAAAAATGGCCCAGTAATTACCAGATTTTACTATTAACATGACATAATTCATGATTTAAAAAAAGAAAATTCTCTCTTTTATTGAGGCCATAGGGTGTATGGTACAGAAAAGAAAGGGAGGTTGCAATAGTAGAAAGACACATATTACATTTGTAGTGTTACATCATGCACTCTGGGAGTGAAGAGCCTCTTTTAACTTTTTTGTAGAAAAAACTTTTGTGTAGAAAACAATAGAAAGCAAGCAATACCGTTGCGCCCTTTCACAGCATGTAGTAGAGTTACCTATTAGTTAAGGTGAGTTGGTCGCGTGGGTTTGGGACCTGGCGGGCGTGAACTCACCAAATGCTAGGTATTAGTGTTATCGGGTAGCGGTTTTGGGGGGGGGAGCATGCAACCTTAGATTATAGAGTAGGACCTCTGCGTAGAATTAGGGCAGTGCCCAATTATATGTAGGGTGGGTATTGTGATTTATTAGATATCCCTTCTCGGCAATAGCCGGGTCGTATCATGCTTATAGTTCCACTTGGCTTGGTCAAGTTGCCTGGATCCTAATCCGATTGTGGCTATGCGGGTGTGCGCTGGCACTTTCTGCTGGTGTCCCTAACAAAGGGGGCTTTGCGGGGGGTGCAGGTTGCCACGCCCCTGTCTAATGGAGTGGCGCCAATCTCTACTAGGCCTTTAAGGTGTACATTTTGACTCAAATTTAACATATAAAGATGACAATGTGAACAAATTGAACGATAAACTTATTATGCAGCAAACAGTCACTTGAAGTAGCGTCAGCTTGCTTTTTAGTCAAGTCCCCAGTCTCGTCGTCGGTTGTGAACGTGGGGTGAAGAGGACCACGGTAGTTGGGTCCCAGCTGTGAGGGCCGGATTGGTTGCCTGCTGCCTGGTCTGGTGCTGGTAGTCCCAGTGCCCGAAACAGGGCTGGTGCTTCCTCAATGTAGGAGAGACTTTGGATAGTTCCATCTTGGTCCATGTAGAATATTACATATTCTGTATATTCCTATTCAAATACATATTAAGGTGTGGCTGTCTAATGGGTTAAAAAGAACAGATGGCGTTTGCTATTCTGTACCATGAGGACTGGCATGTGCTGTATAGAGAGATTTGGGGAAGGGCCTTCTATGGGGAGTTTGCTTATGTGGCCAGTCTAAATGAAACGTTATGACGTAATTTTGGCTATGAAGGGCAGAGGACAAAGGACCACGTTCTCTTCCTTCTACGATCCGCTCTCCTCCCTGATGTTCCTGAGTGCTGATACAAAAGACGACTACTTAAGATCTCTCACTCTCTGTAATGTCGTTAAGAAATACCATCTGTTAAGTATATTATTGTTTGCTGTTGAAGTAGAATAAATGCATATTTTTTATAAAGAACGTCAGATTGCGTATTAGTACTTTTCATTAATATAGACATATATTAATGTTGTGAGCCTTTGACCCAAGAAGAAATATCTATATATAAAAGACTTATTCAACTAAATAAATAAACACAGAACAGTTATAACAGTCCATCACCAGAGATCTTGGCGTTGCCCAGCGATAAGTGATACCTGCTGCTCTCAGGTGAGTTGTGATAGATTGGAGTGATCTTCTCCATTGTAGGGTGGGCCGTGAGAGATCCTGGTAAAATGTCAGCTCCATGTCCTCAAACAGGTAGGAGGGTGTCTTGTTCCGCAGGGCCGTTAAGAGAGCTTTTATGTCCTGCGCGAGGGAGCAACGGACTTGGATATCGCTCACACCCGATGCAGGGGCTCGTGGAAATTTAGACAGGCGAAATACACCATCGAACATAAATATTTTGGCCTGCTACCATGCACCGCAGGTAATGTGGAAGTTCTTCCGTGGTTACAGTTGCAGGTACACCGTGTATTTTCAGGTTGATAGATTGTGTGCGGTCTTCTAGGGTGGCGAGGTGGACTGCTTGTGCTTGTTGAGCCCTTTGCACAGATTAAAGGGAGTCTCTTATGTTTAGCATTTCTTGTTTCACATCTTGGATGTCTTCCTCAGTAGCCCTGACCCTGTCAGTAATAACCTGTCGGCCAGAAGGTCTTTAATGTTCTGCTTGGTGGCTAGTGTGGACCAGTCTGGCATGTTTGGGGCTTGCTGCTCAGTGTGTTCTGCACTGTGTCTGGCTCAGGGTTCTGCATGGCAACTGCAGTCTTCCGGGTCTCCTGTGCCACCATTTTGTTTTGGGCCTGGCGCTGCAACAGGGCCCCTATGTCTTGTGCGTCTTGTGGTGTACCTAGTGGCGGTTTCTGCAACCTCCATCTCATTGTGGAGTGCTGGTCTGGCGGAGAGCAGTTTGTGGTCTCTGGCTCCGGTGTATTCTAGGGTGAGAAAGGCCCCAGCAGCTCCGACACTCCGAGTGAGGGTAGATGGTAGGCTGCAGGCCTCTTCCTCCATTGTTTCAACTCGGATTTATGGAAGAAAGGCATGAACCGATGGCTGGAGCCGTGCTGAGTAATCCCTCCGGTTTTGGCCATCAGATGGGTGAGTGAGTTTAAGATTTTGAGCAGATTAAGCTAAGCCTCGGCAGAGGTGATGGAAATGGTGTCCGCTCTGTTCCAAGGTTAAGCCCCGCCTCTTCATAAAGTCATGATTTTATTAATGACACAGAGCTGCACTCTTTCTTTATTTCCCTCAGCAGAAAAGAAAAAATAACATTAAAAAAATCATATAACAATACAAAAATAACATTAGAGCAGTGGCGTCGCTAGGGGAGGGCCAGAGGGGGCCATGGCCCCCCCCTACATCATGCTGTGCCCCCCCTTGAGCCCCCCCAAATGCCAGCAACTTGAGTCAGAGAGTTTTGTCTGTCAGTAAGCTTGTGTGCTTACTGTACTACATATATATATATATATATATATATATATATATATATTTTGACTTGTAGGAATGGCATACATTTTTTTTCCAGGGCTGCTTTGGATTCCCAGGGATTCCCAGTTTGGCTCTGCCAGCGAGTGCACTTTACCGCTGAATAATCTGTGTGAGCTGCCGCACACTTTAGCTCTGTTACACGCGTCTGGGAGCTGCTGTTGACAGGTACTAGTAGTCTAGAGATTGGGGTATATGCTCAGCTATCTGTATAATACAGATCTGTGTGTATAAAATATCCCGGGATAGTCAGTGCTTCCTGTATAGTGCTGCTCTCTGTCTTGGGATATTATACACAAACAGACCTGTATTATACAGAGAGCAGCACTATACAGGGAGCACTGAGTGTCCCAATTTATTATACACACAACCCTGTATTATACAGAGAGCACTGACTGTCCAGGGATATTATACCCAGACAGTAATTGATAGCTGTGCTGCAAAATGTCCTTGGAATTTTTTTTCAAATGTTGGCAACTATGGCACTGTATCAAGGATAATGTGTTTGTTTTTTTAATAATCCCTGGTGGAAAATAATGAATCCTCCACCAGGTATTATTTAAAAAAAAAAAAACACATCGTGTCGGGGGGCGTGGCTTAACATGCGACAGGGGCGGGGTCAAACTGCGGCGAGGGTGGGGTTAAATGTGCCCCCCTACTTTTGTCACTGGCCCTCCATGTGCCCCCCCGAAAAATGAATCCTAGAGACGCCACTGCATTAGAGGTGAGTTTTACTAGCAACAGGAACAGCCAATCAGCATCCTATCCTTGACATAATAAGTGTTACCCAATAAATCACTTCCTCTTTCATGCAAACCCGAAGATCAAAGAATTAATAAGAATCCAGGAGAAACACCATGAATAGGATAATTAACTCCAAAGAAGAAATCCACAACCGTGACCTTGAATTTAAGCTAGAAGATATAGGACAATATTGTAATATCTAAGCAGAAACAGGATATATCCATGGTAATGTTTTTGCAATACAGTTATCAGGCACTGGGTATGAACCATTGAATGCATTGTAAGTAATATCAATGGGTATGCCAGTATTTAGTAAAGGCTATAGACTCACTATGAAAGAATTAAGACTTACCGTGAAGAAACTTACCCAGTCAGAAAAAAAATCATCTTGGAACGGCAGGGAGGGATAATACTCGCCTTCATGTCATTAATAAAATCATGACTTGACGTCATGCTTATAGTAAAATCTAGTAATTTTTTTAAGACACTGAGACTCCTATTATGCTAGTTAAAAACTAAGAATGACAGTCCCTGCAAAGTGTTGAGTAGGTCTAAAATAAAAATCACAGAACGTGGATTCAGCAGCATATAAAATCTAATCTAAACGGCCAACTGCAGAAGCTTTAGAAGCCATTGCACCATGAACAGAATGAGGTGCGAAAATGAGGTGTCGATACCTACCAATGTCATAATCAATTTAACCAGGGAACGAGAAGATACAGGAAGATGCAGTTTGTAGAACAAGATGAAAAGCTGAGACATCAAAGGATTATGTAAAGGAGGTG